TGTAAATCGATTATTAAGGCACGCTGGTTCCTATTTTTGCCTGTTGGATTTTCATTAAGACGTTGAGGGTTTAAGAAATGAACGTTTATGTTTCCAGCTTACGTATTGATGAGTTTGCAACGTTTTGTAACGTTTATACTAACAAGTGTGAAATCGAAAGGCCTAATAACCGAAAAGTCATGACGATGTGGGTGCACGTAGGTTTAGCCGGTAATCCTATGACTATAACGATATGATTATACTACGAATTCTAAAGTTAGAGGGTAACGTACTCACCTCTAAACGCAAAGATTTACGATAACGGTAACGGATGAACGAACGGATAACAAACGGACAACGAACGGCGAACCTCCTGCGTGCTCTCCCTTGATAGTGAAGCTTGATATGGCTAAAGCCTTTGACAAACTTAAATGGTCATATCTTTTTGATATTCTTAGGTCTTTTGGTTTTTCTTCCAATTTTATTTACATGGTTAATAATCTTCTTGCCTCCTCCAAATTTTCTGTCCTACTGAATGGTAAACCATGTGGTTTTTTTGGCCAATCTAGAGGAGTTAAACAGGGTGATCCCCTATCTCCCCTCTTGTTTATTATTGCTAATGAAGGGTTTTCCAGAAATCTCAATAGATTGGTTGAAAATGGGCTCATTGGCAGGTTTAATTGTGGCAGAACTTCTATATCCATCTCCCACCTAGACATTCCAGGTCTGTCCTTAATCTCAAAAAATTTCTCCATGACTACCAGATGGTCTCTGGGCAGACCATTAATTATGGCAAAAGCAGCTTCATGACTGGCACAAAACTCAACTCACTAGCTATCACCAAGCTTGAGAGATTATTGTTGATGCCTCACAAGTCCTTTCCTTTTACTTATCTTGGGGTGCCTATTGATTTGGGGATTACTAGGAAGATTCACTGCTCCAAACTCATCCAGTCATTTGATAATAAATTAAATGGCTGGCTTCAGAAGAATTTGGATCAAGCTGGACGTTTGGTGCTCATCAAGCATGTTTTGAACACTCTTCCTAACTATTTCTTGGCAGTCAATACCATTCCCAAGGCCTTCTCTCATTTGCTTGAGCAGAAAATGGCCAGATTCTGGTGGGGTGGTGGTAACAGACATCACTGGATTAGTTGGGAGAAGCTCTGTTTCCCTAAGGAAGAGGGGGGTCTTGGCATTAGAGATCTCAAAAGCCTGGAGGACTCATTCAGCCTTAAACTTTGGTGGAAATTCCACCAACACAATGGTCTTTGGGCTAGGCTAATGAGGTCCAAGTACTGGAGGGAGGGGGATATTTGGGAGGCCTTGACTGATTCCCCAGTCTGGAAGAGGATTTCTAGGATTGATGAAATTGCTTCTAATGCTTGTGCCGTCAATGAGGATGGATCAATGGTTTGGTCTCTTGAGGCAAATGGTTCTTTTTCCCTCAAATCTGCCTTTGATTTTTGCAGGCCTTCTTCTCCCATTGTGGCCTCTTTCAAATATCTTTGGATGAAACCACAGAATCCTAAGGTTGGGGTGTTCACTTGGAAACTCTTCAAACATTGCCTCCCTATTCCTGAAAATTTGCAAAGATTAGGATTCCACCTGCCTTCTATTTGCCCCTTCTGTAGGGCAGATTCCTTTGCCTCTAAACATGTGTTTCTTAACTGTCCACAGATTGAGGAAGTTTGGAAACATTTTTCTGCCTGCCTTGCTTTCTTGCACAGATTCTCCTCCTCCATCAATCAACATTTCATGGATTGGTGGCTGAGAGGAAATTGCAACAACATCTATGGATTTCTTCGTATGCATCTCCCGGGTATCATTCGTTGGCATATCTGGAAGGAACTTAATGCTATCATTCATGAAGGTAAAACTGATTTCTCCTCAAAACTCTCATTGATTCCATATCTATGTTTGTGAGGCAATGGTTGGCTGCTAAAATTCCCAAAAAGCTTAAGGGTGCAGATGCTTGGCTCAATGAGAAGAAGTTACTGCCTTTCTTCCCTAAGGCCCATAAAATTCGAGTTGTTAAGTGGTTAGCTCCTCCTAAGGGGCGCCTCAAGCTTAACATTGATGCATCCTTCACC